TTGAAGCTGCCTTCATCGAGTCTTCGACTGAACACTGCCTTCAGACTCGCGCAGGAACGACTCGACCATTAGTGCGGAATTGGCTGCTTGGGGCTCAGTATGTCAATGCCTAATCGATCTGTGCGGGGTCCAGGCTTCAGCCAATTATCCATCTGTCTCGCTTTCAGTGTGGTGCATTTATTAATGTAGTGAACTGGTTTGAAGGTGGGGGCAGCCCTATCGCGCAGACCGGTAAAGCTCTTGTATGCGCGAGGCGAGTGGACCTGTTTTATTTCTAGGACAGTGTAGGATACGATAAAATACATTCGACTATTCTTTGAGATGTAATTCTTCGGTGGGTTTCATGACCTTGCTGCGCCTGGCAACTTTGAGCCGGTGGGCGATTACAACCCCTAAATGTGCAGCAATCTATTCGGTCGCCTCCGCAACATGGCATGTCGTTGCTGATAATTCTAGTTGTGTTCTGCGAAGATGTATGAATGACCACGGATATCTAGGTATGTGCTTGCTTGTAACCGATTTTCGCCATTTACTGTTTGGCAATGTGGTATTCAACCCTATGACGACAGAATACGGGCTGTCGATTATCGGGTCATGTGATCTGATTAGATCGAACATTTTTATCAACTTTGGAAGCATGATGGGAGAGTATGTTTGCGTGGGCTAGCGATAAAGGAAGTTTTGGAGAACCGATATATTCTGTGTTTAAAGACGTTAAACTGTGTGTGCTGAAAGCACTCATCTTACTTTTACTGCAGTAGGCGAGAACCGAGACATTCCGAGGCTTACAATTTGTGAGTATTGTAGTCCGTGTAGAAGGCTTGGGAAAGCAAGTGAGCGAAGTTCGCAGTTGGGAGGGGACACATATCTGACTCCGTGAGAGCAACCACCGAAATAACAAAGTGGGGGCGGAGGTAATCGTCACAGCGTCTTCAGCGAGGGCTTGCCTTGATCGGTATCGTGGGTCGTTGCTCCCCAAATGAATGCGAATTTTCGCATTCCAGGTGTTTGCACGAGTAAGCGAGCGAAGGCTGGTCGAGTTCTCGAACAGTTTATTATTATTCTGTGTTTTTAAACTTGTGCGGCCGTTATGTGTCAGAGGTAGCAGCAGCAGAAAAGCGAAGATTCAAAGGGGTGCCAGCCAACCAGATATCAGTGACACACGTATAGATTTGACATCGCAGGGCTTCTTACACCGGCGCTACATCGATACGTCGATTGTTTAAGCCCCCAAAGTGGACCAGGTTTCACAAAATTCTTGGTTTGGCGTGGGCGATTAGCTTAACGGCTGCAAATTTGAAGTCATAGCCCGTTTCGTAGTTGTGGGCAGCAAATTGCGATACTTCGCCACGCCGTCGGCTTATGTTCATGTAAGCAAGATCCGAGCATGCATTCAGTTTGACCTGCGTAGTTACAAGGACAGTATAGACATGTGATGCGATATACTTTTCCAGATTGCTCTTTGGGATTTAGTCGGTCTTTTACTTTCCGCACTCCTTACTTACGGTAAATTTGGACACGTATGCAATTACAACATCTGGTCCAGCAATGATGCACTCGGTCGCTTCGAAGACATTCCTGATGTATGCTAGGGAGTCTCATATCATCGATGACGTAGGCACCGGCTTATAAACGCCTTAAGAAATCAGTTTGCCTACGTGGGTTGTGGCGGTATTGTCTCTCGATTCATTTTTATTCCGGGTAACTGTGAGGAATCTGGGTCTGTTCTAAGAGTATTCCCACACGACTTCCTTAGTGAGCCTCCAGATGGTTGTTTTGAAAACAGGGGAGCTATGTGGTCTTCCGGGTCCTTTACTTAACCCTTGTTTATAGTTAGTCGTTGAGAATACAATTTCTCCCTCTATCATAAATTATGTATCCCTTATGCGGCTTATTTTTCGTGACAGTTGTAAACTCCAAAAGAAGGAGCGTTTACCAGGAGAGCTTTATTCTGCTTTTGATGTTTTGGGGTCGTTGCTTCGTCTACTTATCTTCAGAGACTAGAGATTAAGCCTCACAGTTCGCATTATTAGCCGTTCTTTGCTGCAAACGCTCTTCCATCATTATTAATAGTAGCGAACTTGTTGTCAATACGGCAACGCTAAAAAAATTGACCCCGTTTGGATGTATACGGCCTTCTCTGGCTTGAAATTCGGTCGGGTGTGTGGGGATAAGCACTTCATCTCAAGGGGAACCAGGGCATCGTCCGATAAAATGCTCTGACCTCGGAGTTCTATAGGTAACTGGGAAGCTGACCGGATGGGTATTCCTTCGATAGTTTCCCTCCTAACACGCGTGACATTCAGGGCGCTAACATGGTCGACTGGGTCAGTATCTGTCGCGTTGGAACAAGCTTCATGCCGCGGGACTCGTTATAGGCCTTCATCCATTGTCGGGATTCACGCGGACTGTCACTGCGTCAATCACGGTCCCAAGCGATGATCATGACAGCTGATCATTTCGGTACGCACGTGATCGCCGCGGATACTG